TAGGAGGCGCTCGGGACTGGTCCCTTAGCTTGACGACGGCCGCGGGGTTGGGGGCGCCTTGGGCCCCGCGCCTGGGGGGGGGTGGGCGGCCCCAGTGGCCTTCCGCTCCCTTCCCCTGGCGGTGGGGGCCCGGCGGTCCTGGCTCCGTGGAGGGGGGAGGCCCCAGGGGAATACAAGATGAAGCATTGTCCTCGAGTATTGTCGCTACACACAAGGGGAGCGCCCAACATCTGGGGACGAGTTGCGGGAGGGAGCGGACGGCCTGGGGCCCTGGCGGCCTTCCCCCCCCCCCTCATTGGGGCGGGGGGGGTGGCGGGCCGTGACGGCTCCACAGCCGGAGGAAAGTGCATGCTGAAAACCCATAGCTCATAACCACTCTTGCTGTGCCAGACGATATCCCATAGAGGGACCACACTTACTGGAGCCCGACCCATGCACCACACTAACAACACCCACACCAACAGAATTACTAACACACCACTCAACAAGACCTAAAAGACGATAAGGGGTGCGGCTCGACATGTAAATAGTTCAAGCAGGACTCAGGAGATCAGCCCCCACCTACTCCTCAACATCACCTAACCCCATGCCCTCACCCCCCTCCGGCCCTGGACACTTGGAGGGAGGAGGCAGGGATCGGGGGAAAACCTGACTCCCACCTGTTGCATCCTAAGTTGACCCCACCTAAGTTCTGTTATAAGTTACGACTGCCCAAACGAAACAGAAAATTGCCTGCCACATGCCCTGAAGTAGACGACCACCTCTCCCCCCGTGACTAGACCAGTACCGCCGGCCTTGGACCCTCCAGGCCCGAGAGACCGCGGACAACACAGTCCACCCTTGCTGGCAACTGTAGTAAGCCCAGCAAACCCACCCTCTACCCCACTTCACCCGCCCCACTAAGTCCCAACGCTGCCCTCTGGGGACCACCTGGGCTCCAAAACCCCCTCTTGACCATAGTACCCCTCTTCCACAAGTCACGCTCTACGAGCGATATAACCCGTACCATGCCACTTAATCTACATTGTGTCTCCATAAACGCTAAAGGCCTCAATAACCCTAAAAAACGACACTCCCTTCTACGCTGGGCTCACGGCCAAAAAGCGGACATCCTTATGATCCAAGAAACCCACTTCACCCCCCATAAACACTTCCCACTCAAGAACAAACACTACAACCGCACCTTCCTCGCTAACTCGCCGGATGCAAAAACCAAAGGGGTGGCCATCATACTCAAATCATCATGCCCACTGACCGACATCCAGGCCTTCCCGGACAAACACGGGAGGTACCTCACACTCACCGGCAGAATAGGCCCCACGACCTACTCCATCTCCTCCCTATACGCCCCTACAACCCCTGAACCACTGTTCTGGCAAACATTCTCCGCCCACCTAACAGCACACAGTGCCACATTCACCATCATAGGCGGTGACTGCAATGCCACACATCAACCAACCCTGGACCGCACTGCCAGGCCCCGGAATGAACCACGATCCTCCGTAAACGACACCCTCTTCTCCAATTTTCTAAATACACACACCCTATTAAACATCTGGAGAGCCCAACACCCGTCAACCCTAGACTTCACATACTACTCCCACCCCCACAACACCTACTCCCGCATTGACTACTTTCTGGTTTCTCCAAACGTCACCTCGCGAATCACACACACATCCATTGGTCACATCACCTGGTCGGATCATGCCGACATCTCCCTAACCCTCTCCATCCCAAACATGTTACGCCCATGGACATGGAAACTCAACTCACAACTTCTTCAAGACAAACTAGTGACCATATCCATTGCAAAAGACATCACAGAATACTTCACCCTAAATGACCCCTCTGTATCCTCCACAATCACGTTATGGGCGGCCCATAAACCGGTAATAAGGGGCAAATTGATAGCTCTAGCGACTGCACGTAAAAAACAACACAACAAACTATTAATGGAAACCATAACCGAAATAGGCCGACTAGAAACCCTCCACAAACGCAACCCGACCCCTTTACACCTTGAACAACTCACAACAGCCAGGTCCCTGCTCAAAAGCCTCTCTCTTGCAGCTACCACTAAAGCTCTAGCATGGACCAAACAAAAATACTACGAGAAAAGCAATAAAGCAGACTCCATGCTAGCAAAGCGCCTCAAAAACTTGACCGAAACAAAGCGTATCACAAAAATCCGCACTTCAAACGGTGCGATGAGCGACATACCACACACGATAGGGGAAGTCTTCCGACACTACTTCACCTCTCTATACAACCATACCCCAGATCCCCCAACAGAATTGATCCAATCCCAAACGGATAACCTCCTTAGGAGGCTCTCCCTCCCCTCCCTCACCGAAGACGCCAGATCGAGGATAGCAGCAGACATCTCTCCAGAGGAAATAATAGCGGCAATAAAGACCCTGAAACCTAATAAAAGCCCAGGCCCCGACGGGTTAACGGCCATCTACTATAAATCCTTCGGGGACATACTTACACCCAGACTAAGCAAAGTCTTTAATGCGATGCTACAAGGGGAGCCACTACCCGCTGACATGACACAAGCTAACATCACTCTCTTACCCAAACCAGGAAAACCCCACGACGAACCAGGCCACTACCGCCCCATTTCCCTCCTAAACATTGACCTAAAAATACTGACCAAAGTCATGACAACTAGACTTAACCCCTACCTACCGAAACTCATTAATCCGGACCAGGTAGGCTTCATACCACAAAGACAAGCACAAGACAACACGCGGAGAACCATTGACCTAATATGGTACGCCAACCAAAAACGCCTCCCAGCGATCATACTATCCCTGGACGCCGAAAAGGCGTTTGATCGCCTCCTCTGGCCCTACCTTTATGCAGTACTCCATAAATTCGGATTCCCGCCAGAATTTACCCAATTCCTGAAAGCCATGTATCATACGCCTACTGCCCAACTTCTAATCCCCAACATCACCCCCCCCTCCTTTCCGATACTAAACGGCACCCGTCAAGGATGCCCCCTCTCCCCCCTCTTATTCGCCATTTCCCTCGAACCCCTCCTAGAGGCCATACGGATCAACCCACAAATCGAGGGAATCAGGATAAGGGACGAAACATTCACCGTCGCTGCATACGCAGACGACATCCTCCTAACCCTAACTAACCCCCTCCCAACCCTAGAGGCCCTAATGTCAACCCTACAAGAATACTCAACGATTTCAGGATATCAATTAAATGCCACAAAATCAGACCTCATGCCGCTAAACCTCAACAATATCACTACCTCCACCTTGAGAAGTAACTTCCCCTTCCATATCTGCCCAACAGAGATCACATACCTAGGTATCCAAATCACCAACGACACCACCACTCTATACACTGCCAACTATCCCCCCCTCCTGCACAAAGCGTACTCGGACCTAGAACGCTGGAAACCGATGTCCATCTCCTGGCTCGGAAGAATAGCGTCGGTCAAAATGAATCTCCTACCTAAATTCCTTTATGCCTTCCAAGCGCTTCCCATCCCCTGTAAAAAATCAGACCTCAAACACTTGCAAACAGCCATAGACCGATACATCTGGAATGGAATGAGACCCCGAGTCCGCAGATCCACACTATACGTACCCAAGCCTTCCGGAGGGCTAGGCCTCCCTAATCTCACACACTACCTACACGCCGCACACCTAACACAAATACAGCACTGGCACCTCCCCCCTGCCCACAAACGATGGGTAGACCTGGAACACCTCATCTTCGGCTGGGACCATCCCTCCCAATATATGTGGACCCCAAAACCATACAGACCACTGCCACCACCCACGTCACCAACGATCACTCACTCCCTAGATCTCTGGGATCGCCTCAGCGATAAGTTTGATCTCTCCACGGGCCTATCGCCCCTCACACCGATTCTCCGCAACAAAATGTTCCCACCAGGCCTCACACCAAGACACTACGCCCACTTCAAGGACAGAGACATAGTCCGACTAGGACATCTCTACCCCAATGGTAAGCTCCTACAATACTCAGAAATCCCCAACCCTGAATCCCTAACCACCTACGACTACTTTCGATATCTCCAACTCCGAAGCTTTGCAGCAACGGATACGGTACGCATGGCAGCCACCTCGACCCTAACTGAGTTTGAGAGGGATACCCTCCGCTCTCCAGCCAGAAAGAGCCAAATTTCAAACCTATACATAACATTAACCACACACCACACTCAGGTGGCCCTTCCTTACATAGCAGCATGGGAAAACGACCTGGGACCTCTTGAGGATCCCACCGAATGGGCAGACATATGGGCATCCATAAAATCCATATCAATCTGTGTCACCCACAAAGAGCAAGCTTACAAAATGCTCTTTAGGTGGTACCTCACCCCCCTCCGCCTGAAGGCAATGAACCGATTACCCAATAACCTTTGCTGGAAATTGTGTGGCGAAACCGGCACTTTCCTCCACTGCTGGTGGACATGCCCCAAACTCACTCCTCTATGGAAAACAATTACAACACTCTTAACCAGAATCCTTAACAAGCCAATACCCCTGGACCCCTGGGCCCTCCTACTCTCTAAGCCCATTGATACCTTCACCCGCAATGAAAACAAACTCATAGCTAGAATAGCACTGGCCACACGCAGAGCTATAGCGGAAACTTGGTCCACACCACACATACCCACTCAACCCCAAATAAACACTAAAATAACTGACAACATAGCCATGGATAAGCTGACAGCACAGGTCCATGACACCCCAAACTCATTTCATAAAGTATGGGACCCATGGCTGGAAGGATACAACGCACTCCCATGGTGATACAAGGCTACCACACAACCCACTCCACCAACATCAGCCCATAACAAAAGACAAAATGCAGCCCATCTACCCAACCCCCAACCCAATCCACCAAATCGGAGCTCCGGGGGGTAACCAGGAGGGCAGCACCCTACCACCAGCCCCATCGAACACCCCCTCTTTCCCCCTCCCCCCACCCCCCCTTCCCTACCCATCCCCTGACTTGTGACCTTACTCACGAGTCAGGTACTGCTGCCCAATGCCACACAACTAACCACCCTGCAGCAGCAACCTACACTGACGCCAACCCCCACCTAAAAACGACCATCCACGACAACCCTGGCGGAACAGATATACAAGCGCCATACTATCCTCAGACAGTTAACTAATAAGACCAACACAACGCTCAGCACCCCAACTACGACCTCCTCATTGAAGCATGAATACTAACAACACAAACAGAGGAGCTGAATATACGACTCCCTACAAACAGGGATCCGCGACAGACGGGATAGTAATGATGCTTCGGCCCAAAGTGCCAGACACGAAAGCAAACGAACTAATGTCGTACCCAACTAGTTTCTCCCAAATAACCACCCCGTTCTTTTCTTCTTTCTGTACAAAATGTTCAAATGTGCAAATGAAACCTGAAAATGAAAATAAAGAATCTTTAAAAAAAAAAAAAAAAATATATATTGCAAACAAATACACCAGCTAACACACAGACACAATCTGGCATACATATACACATACACACAGATATACACTTACAGATGCACAAGGCATATACAAAGATACACAATATCAGACATACTATGATTGTGTGTGTCAATATTTGTGTAATTTGCATCTCTGCATAAGTGTGTTTGCATGTGTGTGTATGTGCGCATGTATTTTTGTGTGTGTCCAAAAAGGCAAAATGGCTGTAATGTGAAGACGATATGGTATGGACAATGTCATTGTAATGTGGCAGCATGTACAATATACATGGAACAACATTATATATATATAAGGTATTTATGGACAAGGAAATCTACTTATTTCCTGAGTGCAGTTCTTTTTTCTTTTTTTTAAATATTTTTATTGTACAAGAAAAATTAATTTCTATGAACATAGCAAACAGAAATCGGCAGTGACATATTGGATTAATTTTACATCGTATTAGTAATAGGCTTAATCGCCGTAACCTTGCTTATTTAAGCAGTATGTCGTCACTCCCAGTCATGACCCGACCGGTGTGGTGACATGTGAGAAAGGTGTGTCTGAATAAGGGCCTAAGCTCCTAATGTATTATTTTGTAGATATCTACAGCACCGGTTCCACGTGAGTGTGTAGGTGTGGTAACTATTGGTTAGGGAGAAGCATATCTCCTCCATACCCCTTGTGGTTTCTACCTTCTGTATCCAGTCTCGTAGGGATAGTGGGTTTGGTTGTTTGCA